CTCTGCCTCATTTCAGCTGTATTTTTTACTCGTTCCGTTCTTCATTCTTCCCTCTGGTTATGTCTCGCCTGCCCTTTTATCGTCCATCCTCCTCTCTCACTCTACCGTCGCCTTCTCTACCCTCCCCTTCCTCTCCTCCTCGCCCTCGCCTGCTCCTCCTCTTCGTTATTTTCTTTTCACTCCCTTCTCCTCCCCCCTCCCCTATTCTCCCACCCCACATACGCACCACCCAGACCGGTCTCACACTCCTCGCCTCCATTCGTCTCCCGTCCCCCTGAGCCCCAACTTCCCCCGGCGTCACACACACCCACGGCCCCCCCCCCCCTCCCAGCGCCGCTCCCCGTGCGCCCCTCCCCCACCTGCCTGGTGAGTGACAGGCTCGTGACTGGAGGGTCGCACACCCAGGACGCACCACGCCAATTATTGCTGTTATTTCCCTCCATCATTGAGAACTTTCAGAGGCTGGCTCTCCCTGCCTCCTCGCTCCCTCGCACGGGCGCCTGGAATGTGGATCCTTTTTAGTATAATTTCCTGGCCGCCCTGACGGTGCTGGAATGCGCCGAGGACGAGTGTTGCAATGACTGCGTTCAACTGACTCACTCGCACGGGTTTGCAACGCTGCCAACCGTGTCGTATCCTGAACGACGATCCTCCGCCCTCCGCGCCTCGTCTTGTCGTCGCGTCGTCCTGCCTGTCCGCTGAGAGGAGGATGCCCTTCCCCGTGCGCCCCACCAACTCACGGGGATCTATCGGCGTTCAAATTCAATCATTCCAAGATTTCTAAGATGAAAAAAAAAATTCCCATTAATCTTCCTCGCATCCCTCTTTCACAGCCTTTCCATAATATCGTGACGGATATTTTCTACCGTGAGCCGATTACTCCACATCCTCGGGACGGCATCCCTGGCCACTCCACGCCTCCGACGCCCTCGCACTCAAGTCTGGACTACTTTTCCAGCGGTGCGTCAAGGTAACCCCGTTTCGGCCTCCTCACTCCTCCCGCCGCCCGCGCCGAAGCACCCATCCCTCGCCCGGTCAGTCTTCCCAGCACCCATCCCTCGCCCGGTCTCAGTCTCATCCCCAGCACCCATCCCTCGCCGGTCAGTCAGTCCCTCGCCAGTCAGCACCCATCCCTCGCCCGGTCAGTCAGTCTTCCCAGTCCCTCGCCCGGTTCAGTCCTCGCCAGCCCGGTAGTCTCCTCCAGCACGTCCCTCGCCCGGTCAGTCTCGCCCTCCATCCTCGCCCGGTCAGTCAGTCTCCCAGTCACCCATCCCTCGCCGGTCAGTCAGTCTCCCCAGTCCTCGCCCGGTCAAGTCAGTCTCCCCAGCCCCATCCCTCGCCCGTCAGTCAGTCTCCCCCCCATCCCTCGCCCGGTCACTCTCCCCAGCACCCATCCGCTCGCCCGGTCAGTCTCCAGCACCCATCCCTCGCCGTCAGTCTCCCCAGACACATCCCTCGCCCAGTCCAGTCTCCAGCACCCATCCCTCGCCCGGGTCAGTCCCTCCCAGCACCCCATCCCCTCGCCCGGTCAAGTCTCCCCAGCACCCATCCCTCGCCCGGTTCAGTCTCGCCCAGCACCCTCCCTCGCCGGTCAGTCTCCCCAGCACCCATCCCTCGCCCGGTCAGTCAGTCTCCCAGCACCCATCCCTCGCCGGTCAGTCAGTCTCCCCAGCACCCATCCCGCCCGGTCAGTTCCCGCCATCCCATCCCTCGCCGGTCAGTCAGTCTCCCAGCACCATCCCTCGCCCGGTCAGTCTCCCCAGCACCCATCCCTCGCCCGGTCAGTCAGTCTCCCCAGCACCCATCCCTCGCCCGGTCAGTCTCCCCAGCACCCATCCTCGCCCGGTCGTCAGTCTCCCCAGCACCCATCTCGCTCAGTCAGTCTCCAGCACCCATCCCTCGCCCGGTCAGTCTCCCCAGCACCCATCCTCGCCTCAGCCGGCCGGTCAGTCTCCCCCAGCACCATCCTCGCCCGGTCAGTCCAGTCAGCACCCAGTCAGTTCCCCAGCACCCATCCCTCGCCCGGTCAGTTCCCCAGCACCCATCCTCTCCAGCACGGTCAGTCTCCCAGCACCCATCCCTCGCCGGTCAGTCTCCCCAGCACCCATCCCTCGCCCGGTCAGTCCAGTCTCCAGCACCCATCCCTTCGCCCAGCATCCTCGCCGGTCAGTCTCCCAGCACCCATCCCTCGTCCCGGTCGTCTCCCCAAGCACCCATCACCTGTCAGTCGTCCCAGCACCCATCCTCGCCCGGTCAGTCAGTCTCCCCAGTCCCTCGCCCGGTCAGTCAGTCTCCCAGCACCATCCTCTCGCCGGTCAGTCAGTCTCCCCCAGCATCCCTTCGCCCGGTCAGTCAGGTCTCCCCACCATCCTCGCACCCCCATCCCTCGCCGGTCAGTCTCCCCAGCACCCATCCCTCGCCCGGTCCAGTCTCCCAGCACCATCCCTCGCCCGGTCAGTCTCCCCAGCACCCATCCTCGCCCGGTCAGTCGCACCGTCAGTCACTCCCCAGCACCCATCCCTCGCCCGGTCAGTCAGTCTCCCCAAGCACCCATCCCTCGCCCGGTCAGTCCATCTCCCCAGCACCCATCCCTCGCACCCGTCCTCCCCGGTCACTCTCCCCAGCACCATCCCTCGCCCGGTCAGTCTCCCCCAGCACCCATCCTCGCCGGTCAGTCTCCCCAGCACCCATCCTCGCCGGTCAGTCTCCCCAGCACCATCCCTCGCCCGGCTCCGTCAGTCTCCCCAGCACCCATCCTCGCCGTCAGTCTCCCCAGCCCCATCCCTCGCCCGGTCAGTCTCCCCAGCACCCATCCCTCGCCCGGTCAGTCTCCCCAGCACCCATCCCTCGCCGGTCAGTCTCCCCAGCACCCATCCCTCGCCCGGTCAGTCTCCCCAGCACCCATCCCTCGCCCGGTCAGTCTCCCAGCACCCATCCAGTCTCCCCAGCACCATCCCTCGCCCGGTCAGTCTCCCCAGCACCCATCCCCGCCCGGTCAGTCTCCCCAGCACCCATCCCTCGCCCGGTCAGTCAGTCTCCCCAGCACCCCATCCTCGCCCGGTCAGTCTCCCCAGCACTCAGTCAGTCTCCCCAGCACCCATCCCTCGCCCGGTCAGTCTCCCCAGCACCCATCCCTCGCCCGGTCAGTCTCCCCAGCACCCATCCCTCGCCCGGTCAGTCAGTCTCCCAGCACCCATCCCTCGCCCGGTCAGTCTTCGCCCGGTCAGTCTCCCAGCACCCATCCCTCGCCCGGTCAGTCTCCCCAGCACCCATCCCTCGCCCGGTCAGTCTCCCCAGCACCCATCCCTCGCCCGTCAGTCTCCCCAGCACCCATCCCGCCCGGTCAGTCAGTCCCTCCCAGTCTCCCCAGCACCCATCCCTCGCCCGTCAGTCAGTCTCCCCCAGCACCCATCCCTCGCCCGGTCAGTTCTCCCTCGCCCGGGTCAGTCTCCCCAGCACCCATCCCTCGCCCGGTCAGTCTCCCCAGCACCCATCCCTCGCCCAGTCTCCCCCACCCATCCCTCGCCCGGTCTCAGTCTCCCCAGCACCATCCCTCGCCCGGTCAGTCTCCCCCAGCACCCATCCTCGCCCGGTCAGGTCTCAGCACGCCCGGTCAGTCTCCCCAGCACCCATCCCAGTCAGTCTCCCAGCACCCATCCCTCGCCCGGTCAGTCAGTCCCCCAGCACCCATCCCTCGCCCGGTCAGTCTCTCCCAGCCCGGTCAGTCAGTCTCCCCAGCACCCATCCCTCGCCCGGTCAGTCAGTCTCCCCAGCACCCATCCCTCAGTCAGTCTCCCCAGCACCCATCCCTCGCCCGGTCAGTCCCCAGCACCCATCCCTCGCCCGGTCAGTCTCCCCATCCCTCGCCCGGTCAGTCAGTCCCCAGCACCCATCCCTCGCCCGGTCAGTCCCCCAGCACCCATCCCTCGCCCGGTCAGTCTCTCCCAGCACCCATCCCTCGCCCGGTCAGTCTCCCAGCACCCATCCCTCGCCCAGTCTCCCAGCACCATCCCTCGCCCGGTCAGTCTCCCCAGCACCCATCCCTCGCCCGGTCAGTCAGTCTCCCCAGCACCCATCCTCGCCCGGTCAGTCTCCCCCAGCCACCCATCCCTCGCCCGGTCAGTCAGTCTCCCCAGCACCCATCCCTCGCCCGGTCAGTCAGCTCGCCCGGTCAGTCAGTCTCCCCATCCCTCGCCCGGTCAGTCTCCCCAGCACCCATCCCTCTCAGTCAGCACCCATCCCTCGCCCGTCCCTCGCCCGGAGTCTCCCCAGCGTCAGCAGCACCCATCCCTCGCCGGTCGTCGTCAGTCTCCCCAGCACCCATCCCTCGCCCGGTCAGTCTCCCCAGCACCCATCCCTCGCCCGTCAGTCTCCCCAGCACCCATCCCTCGCCCGGTCAGTCGCCCGGTCAGTCTCCCCCAGCACCTCCCTCGCCCGGTCAGTCTCCCAGCAGCCCAGCAGCACCCATCCCTCGCCCGGTCAGTCTCCCCAGCACCCATCCCTCGCCCGGTCCGTCTCCCCAGCACCCATCCCTCGCCGGTCAGTCTCCCCAGCACCCATCCCTCGCCCGGTCATCTCCCCAGCACCCATCCCTCCCCCGGTCAGTCTCCCCAGCACCGGCCCCGCAGCGTGAACACAAAGGGCTGCGTCGTGACCCAGGACCGACATTAACGTCAGAGTATTGAAAGTTACACGTCACGAACGCACGAATCCGCGGGTAAGTCGACCCACGGACGCTCCGCTGTTCGTGCTTGGCGTCCATACCTACCCGGGGGTGGGACCGTAATTATATTTGCGAATGATGATACGAAAATAAATATAACACGGTCAAATTAACCAGCAATTAAAACGGGGTAACCTTTTAATGGGGCCATAACCCGGGAAATCATTCAATGCCTCTGCGGATCGCCGACCTTGGTGTTGCAACAGCGTAACACCTGGACACAGCCTGCAACATGGCCAGGGCAGGGGAGGGGGGGGGAGGAGGAGGGGAGGAGTGG